CCCCCCCCCGGTGGACAACGACCTTGGGGCCCCGGGCCAACGGGTTTTTTGGGCTCCCCGGGCTGCGGCTGACGCCGCGCATGCTCGAGGCCGTCAAGGTCGACGACGTCGGCGTCGACATATCGGTGGGCGGCGGCGGCGCCGATGGTGCGGTCGAGTCCGAGTCCGAGTCCGGCGACAAGAGCAGCAGCGGGCGGCGGCAGCCACGAGGTTGTCGTCGACGCCTTCTCGCAGCTGCGCGTGCGCGTGACGAACCGCACGGCGCAGGCCGTGTACCCGCTGCTGCGGCTCATGCCGTCGCTGTGCCACCGGCCGCTCAACGTGGCGCTCGACTTTACGCGCAAGGTCAGCTGGAACGGCACGCTGCAGCAGGCGCTGCCGGTGCTGGGGCCGCGCGCGACGACCGAGGTGGTGCTCGGGTTCACGGCGCTGTGCCGCGGCGCGTTTGAGGTGACGGCGTCGGTCGAGGAGTACCAGGTGTGGGCGGCGCCGGTGAAAGAGGCCGGCGAGACGACGGGGGCGACGGAGAGGGCGCGGCGGCCGCGGTCGGACACGCAAGCCATGCTCGACGCGGCGCTCGGCGTCCAGGAGCGGCGCATCTGGCACTCGCGGCAGCCGTGCGTTGTCGTGGCGAGGGATGCGCCGGGAGTAGCAGAGCGTGCGATGGCATGGTAGAGCGTGCGATGGCATGGCATGGCGTGGCATGAGCATGAGGAGGGGGCGTTCATGAGCATGAGCAGGGGCATTCATGATCACGATGGCATGATGGATGGATGAGCGGCGAGGCGCTGTATTGACTATGTTTATCATGGCATGTGGTTGTAGCGTGTCCCGTGTGTATGTCGACGTGCCGTTCCGTGAAGGTGACTTGCTGTGTCCGATGGGGGCCGATGGGAGGTTGTCTCTTTCGGCGAGGAATTGGCTGTCTTTGTCGAATACATGAGGGCCAAGGCGGACGTCCCTATGCAGTCAGAGCAGCGCTATCAGCTTTACTTTATCCAGAGAGGAGAAGCGCTCATCGGCTTTTACTTGGTCATCTAGAGGGTAGAGACGGGCATTGGCTTGTATTCCCATCACCTAGAGAGGAGAACCGCTCATCGGCTTTGACTTGGTCGTCTATAGAGTAGAGAACAGTCAGTAGCTTTTACCTTGTCCAGAGAGGTGACAACGGTCATCAGCTTTTCCTCCATTATCTTGCGAGTAGACAACGGTCAGCTCGTACTTGGCATCTAGAGAGTAGAGACGCCATCAGGTTTCTTTATCATCTAAAGAGTAGAGAAGACAGCGGCAGGACGTAGAGTATGGTGTACTCGTGATGGCGCGGTTGACTGGCTTCGAGGCTGGCGGCCGACGTCCACTCATAAATGAAGCGATGGTTCATGGGACAGCAATCGGCTCTTCATCTAGTGGTATGCAAAATGCCTCTGGCATTGTCTGGTGAGTTTCGATCCCGTCTTGTTGATGTCGCGCGTCACCACGAGGATGGACAAGAGCATACCCTCAGCACGATGCTATGATCAGGCGCCGTGATCATTTCATGGGCCACCTACAGCAGCCTCTTCCAACTGATTTGTCTATAGTCGTCCATACTACGCAGACGGCCGTTCATGGCACCCGGTGTCATGGCAGCAGTTCACCTGATCGGGACGCAGGCGTCACGGCAGACGCTGATAGTTCGGTACGGATCAGGCAAATCGAGGATACAATGCCGTTCGTCAACACACAGTCACGTCTTCTGCAGAGCATGCGCATGTTGCTGTCCGAGGTACGCCAATGAAGTTGCGATGAAGCTTGCGATGAAGCCTTCACAGGCATTCACAGGCCGAGCGATACAGCTCATGTCAACCCTTCTCAGACCACGGATCAATTGATTCTATCGTCAAGGTTCGCCGCTTGAGCGTCGGGGCTAATCCCGGCGCTACCCGACCGACTTTTCTGGAGACGATGCCGACTTCAGTCCACTTGACTCTCTTCCTCTTCACCCACCCGACTTCAGTCGACTCTACTCTCTTCACCTCACTCGACTTTAGTCGACTCACTCGACTCCAGTCGACTCACTCGACTCACTCGACTCCAGTCGACTCACTCGACTCCCGACTCACTCGACTTCATCTTCACCCTCACCCACTTCACCCACCCCCAGACCGCCCAACACGGCAGCATGAGGCCGCAGATCCTCTTCCTCGATGCCTACGACTCCTTCACCAACAACATCGTCTCGCTGCTGACGACGCTGCTCGACGCCGACGTCCACGTCCTGCCCATCGACACGCCTCTGCTCGACCCCCAATCGCCCGACTTTGCCCATGCCTTTCGCCGGGAGCTGGCCCACTACCATGCCGTCGTCTGCGGGCCCGGCCCCGGCTCGCCCGACCACGCGGCAGACGTAGGCCTCATCCGCGCCGTCTGGGCCCTCGGCCACGGTGATCTGCTGCCGGTGCTCGGCGTCTGTCTCGGCTTCCAGTCGCTCGTCCTCAGCGCCGGCGCCGGCGTCCGCCGTCTGCGTCGCGGTCTGCACGGCATGGTGCGCCCCATCGACCACGACAAGCCCGCCGCCGTGACGCGCAAGCTCCAGGGCGACTTCTTCCACGCCGTGCCGCCCTTCAGCGCCACGCTCTCCCCCTTCCTCTGCGCCGACGTGGGACAGGACGCCGTGCCGGCGGCCGCGTGGCCTG